ATGCTAGACATGAGGTAAGCAATAGACTTTGGTTAATCGCACAAATAAACATGCATGCATAATTTATATAGTCGCACTACTTATACAAGTATTCTGGAATTTATGGGTCATACACAAATATGTTTTAAAAATTATAATTCAAATGATTCATTTTATTATTATTATTATTATTATTATTATTATGATTTAATGTAATCAAGCAAAAAAAATAATATTTCAATAATAATAAGATACAAGAATAATTCCTTACAGTAGAGTTGCAAGGGAAAGAATGTACAGCCCCTAGACCATTTAATGTACTTTGGCTCTACTTGGTAAAAAACTATTTATTATTATTGTTATAATTCATTTCCCCATCACCACTATCACTGTCTTCATTAATATTATTATTATCATTAAATGTGGATTTATTTTTTCCTTTACTTTTGAATTCTATCCAAGATTTGATTGCTCCTACAATCCTGGTGTCAGATTTCATTGTTTGATTATAATAATTTTCTATCACTTTGTTCGAAATAACCTTGATCTTTTTCTCCTTTCAAAGATCACTTACAATTTCAGCAATTATATTGGCTTTAGAATAATCATTTTTCGTTGAAAAGGTTTTTAAATTTCTGAATGACTGGATCTGAAAACGAAGTGTGTCTTGAAGCTAATATGATATGAAAATATTTAATTTACTATGAACCTCTCATCAAAATAGCAGATATTTATACATTGAAATAATCTTACCTTGAGAACTACTTGAAAAATTGCTTGAATTGCTACTCAAAAGATTACTGAGTTACTATTAATTAGGGTATCTTCTTCATAGAATCTTTGTTGGAACACATCATATATAGAACAAAGAAATCTTTTTAACAAGCTCATCCATTTTATTATAAATTTCTTTAGATTTATTTTTTTGTTTCTCTTTTAATAATTTGAGTTTCATATCAATTTGTTATTTAAAATATAAAAAATGAAGTATATGATGATTATACATGAAGTCGAAATTAAAACCCCAAATTCAAAATATTTCAACTTGAGGCAACTACATAGTAAAA